CAGAGCTTTTGCAAATCCACGAGAAGGGTCTGAAGAAAAGCAGGATACAATTCTGAGGCGCAGATTTCTCCGGTAAAGGCTAATTGCAAGTCAGGGAATGATGAAAACGGAGCTAGAAACCGCAGGAGAAGATCTAGTGGCTATGACAACTCCCAAGCTAGCAATGAGTCAGAGGGATCGTTCCACCACAAAGAGGAGCCCTCGGTAGGTCGTATAAATAGAACCAACCCTTAAGGAAAGTGAAATAAAGGTTTTTATGGCTCTGGTGGTGCTGCTGCTGAGCACCGTGTGGAGATTTTTGCATGAGATCCACCTAGAGAATCCAGGGATGGATGAAGAGTGCTCTGGAAAATGGGGCCATTGAGGAAGAGTGGATAGTGAGAGCCTTGGTGGAGGCAGCAGAAGAACCAAGACCAACTGGTGGCAATGGGACAGGTGTGTGTTCTGCACTCATGCAGAAAAAAGCAGCAGCAAGGCTCATCCCAGATTTAGGATGACAGAATGGAAGGAGTTAGAACAGAACTCTGGAGATCATCTACTCCAACCCCCTACCAAAGCAGGTCCACCCAGAGCAGGTTGCACAGGAACTTGTCCAGGTGAGTTTGGAATGTCTCCAGAGATGGGGACTCCACCACCTCTCTGGGTAACCTCTTCCAGGGCTCTGCCACCCTCAAAGGGAAGAAATTCCTACTCATGTTGAGATGGAACTTGCTATGTTCAAGTTTGTGCCCATTACCTCTTGTCCTGTCACTGGGCACCACTGAAAAAAGACTGTCCCCATCCTCCTGACACCCACCCTTGAAGTATTTATAGACATTGATCAGATCCTCCCTCAGTCTTCTCCAGACTAAAAAGACCCAAGTCCCTCAGCCTTTCCTCACCAGAGAGATGTTCTAGTCCCCTCATCATCTTTGTAGCCCTCTGCTGTACCCTCTCCAGCAGTTCCCTGTCCTTCTTGAACTGGGGAGCCCAGAACTGGACACCAGAAGGGTGTCCAGATGTGGCCTCACCAGGGCAGAGGGGCAGGATGACCTCTGTCGACCTGTTGGCCACACTCTTCCTGATGCACCCCAGAATGCCATTGGCCTTCTTGGCCAACCAGGGCACATTGTTTATGGGCAACGTGTCCAATCCTACTGATTTAGAGCAGCGATGGGACATACATCCAGTGATATCCCCAAGCAAAGTGGTCATCACAGTTTTAAAGAGTATTTGTCACAGCCTGAGGCCCCCTTGGAGCCAGGAGAGGTGAGCACACATTTCAAGGCATCTTTTATTTGCTTTTTTTCTCTCTCCCAATACTTCCCTACAAATTTCATAGCCTGCTTTTCTGCTCCCTGACGCTTTGTTACGAAAACCTGACACCGGCAGCGCTTCAAAAGGAAAAAAAAAACCAAATAATTCTCATTTTAATACATCGCAGCTGATTATTACCTTTCATTTTTGTTCCAGCAGGCAGATTTCATACTCCGTGACACTGCTAACAAAAAAAAAAAGGCAAAATGTTCCTTTTTCTACACAGATAAATTTAGCAGACGCATATGCTCCATAAAAGCCCCAGAATCTCACTGTTAGTGCTCAAGTGCTTTGTAATTGGATCCAAATGCAAAAGGCACAAGCACAATCTCAGCCACACACTGGAGCTATAATGGCCCCAATCTCCTTCAGCACTTTAGGGCTACACTTTGTTCCCGAAAAACCCCATTAGAGTTTTGTTCATTGGGACAAAACCTTCTGGTTTTTCTTTTTTATAAATTGTAACAATAATACACTGGTGTTCCCTGATGGTGGTTTGTCCACGGCTCACTCTGACTTCTCACAACAAGCCTGGTGTCAGGAGTGCCGAAGTCCACATTATCCCGGAGCTAGAAACCGCAGGAGAAGATCTAGTGGCTATGACAACTCCCAAGCTAGCAATGAGTCAGAGGGATCGTTCCACCACAAAGAGGAGCCCTCGGTAGGTCGTATAAATAGAACCAACCCTTAAGGAAAGTGAAATAAAGGTTTTTATGGCGCTGCTGCTGCCGCAGCTGAGCACCGTGCAGAGATTTTTGCATGAGATCCACCTAGAGAATCCAGGGATGGATGAAGAGTGCTCTGGAAAATGGGGCCATTGAGGAAGAGTGGATAGTGAGAGCCTTGGTGGAGGCAGCAGAAGAACCAAGACCAACTGGTGGCAATGGGACAGGTGTGTGTTCTGCACTCATGCAGAAAAAAGCAGCAGCAAGGCTCATCCCAGATTTAGGATGACAGAATGGAAGGAGTTAGAACAAGCCACAGCTTCTCTGGGCAACCTCTTCCAGTGTCTCACCACCCTCACAGCATAGAATTTCTTCCTAAAATCTCATCTCAATCTCCCCTCCAGCAGGATGACCTCTGTCGACCTGTTGGCCACACTCTTCCTGATGCACCCCAGAATGCCATTGGCCTTCTTGGCCAACCAGGGCACATTGTTTATGGGCAACGTGTCCAATCCTACTGATTTAGAGCAGCGATGGGACATACATCCAGTGATATCCCCAAGCAAAGTGGTCATCACAGTTTTAAAGAGTATTTGTCACAGCCTGAGGCCCCCTTGGAGCCAGGAGAGGTGAGCACACATTTCAAGGCATCTTTTATTTGCTTTTTTTCTCTCTCCCAATACTTCCCTACAAATTTCATAGCCTGCTTTTCTGCTCCCTGACGCTTTGTTACGAAAACCTGACACCGGCAGCGCTTCAAAAGGAAAAAAAAAACCAAATAATTCTCATTTTAATACATCGCAGCTGATTATTACCTTTCATTTTTGTTCCAGCAGGCAGATTTCATACTCCGTGACACTGCTAACAAAAAAAAAAAGGCAAAATGTTCCTTTTTCTACACAGATAAATTTAGCAGACGCATATGCTCCATAAAAGCCCCAGAATCTCACTGTTAGTGCTCAAGTGCTTTGTAATTGGATCCAAATGCAAAAGGCACAAGCACAATCTCAGCCACACACTGGAGCTATAATGGCCCCAATCTCCTTCAGCACTTTAGGGCTACACTTTGTTCCCGAAAAACCCCATTAGAGTTTTGTTCATTGGGACAAAACCTTCTGGTTTTTCTTTTTTATAAATTGTAACAATAATACACTGGTGTTCCCTGATGGTGGTTTGTCCACGGCTCACTCTGACTTCTCACAACAAGCCTGGTGTCAGGAGTGCCGAAGTCCACATTATCCTCTATGCAAAGTGGGAAATTTGCATATAGCAAATAGCCCTTTCCCTGCTCTGTATCACAAATTCCTTGACTGTTGAACTCAATTTAGTAATTTTGTGGGTGTAAGTCCTCTCCTTCCTACCTACACTGAGCTTAAAGGGGCTTTTATGAATATAACACTTGTGGCAAATTGTTGCTTCTTTCATAGAATCACAAAATGGTTTGGGTTGGAAGGGACCTTAAAGATCATCTAGTTCCAAGCCCAATGCTATGGGCAGGGACACCTCCCACCAGACCAGGTTGCTCCAAGCCCCATCCAGCCTGGCCTTGAACCCCTCCAGGGATGGGGCAGCCACAGCTTCTCTGGGCAACCTCTTCCAGTGTCTCACCACCCTCACAGCATAGAATTTCTTCCTAAAATCTCATCTCAATCTCCCCTCCATCAGCTTAAAACCATTCCCCCTCATCCTATGGCTCCCCTCCCTGACCAGGAGTCCCTCCCCATCTCTCCTGTAGCCCCTTTAGGGACTGGAAGGGGCTCTAAGGTTTCCCCAGAACCTTCTCTTCTCCAGGCTGAACAACCCCAACCCTCAGTCTATCCTCACAGCAGAGATTCTCCAGCCCTCTGATCATCTTCGTGGCCTCCTCTGGACCCATTCTAACAGGTCCATGTCCTTCCTGTGCTGAGGACTCCAAAGTTCTTTTTGGTTTGTTTTCTTTTTGTTCTGAAGGGTTTGGTTGAGCATTTCCCATACTATTCCTGACTTTCCATAATTTCTGCACGAAGTCACAACGGACAGCCCCAACATCTATCCCAAGCCCTCAGATTATATACATTATGCAAAGCATTTGCCTCTTCAGGATGTCCTTCCACCTTCTTTTTGCAGCTATAACAGCCCATGGTTTACTATTTTTAGCACCCACTAAGACCATACATTACCTGCTGCACACAAGAGCAGTGTGACATTTCTCTGAGATAGGGAAAAAAAGACATACATACATTTATACATATTTATTGTATCTTTTTAAAAGTAGCATTTGCAGTTACTTTTAAGCATTCACCTCTCCTCTGCTTCAAAAATGTGCACTTATTGAGAGAAACATCTACTGGCTTCCAAGTCCAAGGTTAATACCAAATAATAACACATGCCAGACTCAAGCTCTGTTGCTTGTTGGCAGCTCCCAGCAGGAAAATATTTTTACAGTAAGAAGAGCGTAGAAAAGGTCTGTGTGAATCCCTCAGCAATAGGCTGGATTAGAGTCACCACCTCCTCTTCGTGAGTTGAAGCAAAACGATGCTTTCCTGAAAAAAAAAAAAACCCAAAAAACAACAAAGCTCCTCGTGAGTTGAAGCAAAACGATGCTTTCCTGAAAAAAAAACAAACCCAAAAAAACAACGAAGCTCCCGTTTTAACTTCTTTCCTTTCGCATCCAGGAGGTGGACAAAGGCAGTTGGTTTTTCTACAGTAGCTTCTTGAGTTGCTGAGATTTCCTCCTCGTCTATAGGAAACCACTTGCTGTAGACCTTTGCGTTTTAGAAGTGTCTTCTCTTGGCGGAACAGCAAGAAAAAAACGCCTGAAATCTGGCATGTCGTTGGGAGAACTGGGAACAAACCAAATTTCATCCTCGGATAAACATACGTTAACTACTAGAGATTTCAATCTAACCCACACACGAAGTTTTACACCAACTACAAATAGAAACAGAAGGTTATCAGCAAAAGACTAGTCTTACATCGGTTCAAATTAAGTCGCAACTATACAATTTTAACTGTAATAGGAAAAAAAAAAAAAGGGAAAGGAATATAACAGAACAGGTATGAAGAGAAATATTTTTCCCAAACTTTTATTTGTGCACATTCATCAGGTGAAAAAAGATAACTTTTACAGCTTCTTTGGTGCCCAATATTCAGCATACAAAAATGTAAAAGACTATTCACAAATAAAACACAAGCTCAAACTAAAAAAAACAAAACCCAAAATAAAACGTTTTAAAGGTAGTGCACATCGTGACAGCTTTGCTTATGAATACACAGAAATTACTGCAAAAATAAATAGAATGTCTTTTTAAAAGCAGCAATTTCATATCTTTTAAACTTCCGTTTTTTTTTTTTTTTTTTTTACAATACAGCACTGTTAAGAGTAAAATCCCAAAGAACTGGAGTTTATACTGTGGCCACGAGCAAGTAAAACAGTCTGTATTCCTCTGCTATGGTTGGTCCAGTTTTCCTTTTTTTTTGTTTTGTTTGTTTTTTTGCCTTTTTTTAGTCCAATGTGCAGCAGTCTTTAAAGGTGCTCGGTTAGGGATCCTAACCATCAAGTGGTGAATTAGAAAATTTATTTCCTGCTTTCAAACACGAATGGGTAAATCTGCTCCACGGCACTGGCAACAGCCTTTACGTTTGGCCCTGAGAGGTATTTTAAAACAAATAAAAACAAAAACAGTGGGAAGAGAAAACAATCAGGGAATCAGAAATTAAAACAACAACAATACCTTTAAAATAACCGTAATATTTTTAGCTACCACAACTTTAGACAAAAATATTTTCTCCCCCATTTCTGCCTACGTCAGAAGTTGTTTCTCTGATCAATTTTACTTCCAAGAAAAGACCTCTAAGATGTTCTACGCTGGTCAATGGCCAGACTACAAATAAATAATCCTGTCATTTAAGTTCCTAACAACTTGGTTGCTCTTCGATTTATTGGCTTAAACAGTCAGCCCAGAGAAGGCACCAGAGGCTGAGTGGCAGGTGTAAAAGGACTACATTTACTTAAGCTAAATCTTCAAGGAATTCGTATTACTCAAAGCCCAGCCACTTTTATCTCCTCTTTTAAAAACCCACCAACAAAACCTCCTGCTAAATAATGCTAGAATTAAGCCAAGCATCTTTCAATATCATAAAGATTGCTTTATGTTTCAAAATTACATTCTAGTCTGGATTTTGGTGCTGCACCTGGGGAGGAATAACCCCCTCAGTTGGGGGCTGACCTACTGGAGAGCAGCTCTGAGGAGAAAGACCTGGGAGTCCTGGTGGACAACAGGATGACCATGAGCCAGCAATGTGCCCTTGTGGCCAAGAAGGCCAATGGCACCCTGGGGTGCATCAAGAAGAGTGTGGCCAGCAGGTTGAGGGTAGTCATCCTCTGCTCTGCCCTGGTGAGGCCACATCTGGACACCCTTCTGCTAAGGCACATGGAAAATAAGGAGGTGAATGGAGACAGCCAACATGGCTTCACCAAGGGCAAATCGCGCCTGACAAATTCGGGGGCCTTTTATGATAGGAAGGACATGGATATGTTGGAAGGGGTCCAGCTGAGGGCCACGAAGATGATCAGAGGGATGGAGCACCTCCCCTATAAGGACAGGCTGAGGGAGCTGGGGTTGTTCAGCCTGGAGAAGAGAAGACTCTGGGGAGACCTTATAACAGCCTTTCAATATCTGAAGGGAGCTACAGGAGAGCTGGGGAGGGACTCTTTGTCAGGAAGTGTAGTGACAGGACAAGGGGTAATGGTGTAAATTGGAAGAGGGGAGATTTAGATTAGATCTTAGGAAGAAATTCTTTGCTGTGAGGGTGGTGAGACACTGGAAGAGGTTGCCCAGAGAAGCTGTGGCTGCCCCATCCCTGGAGGGGTTCAAGGCCAGGCTGGATGGGGCTTGGAGCAACCTGGTCTGGTGGGAGGTGTCCCTGCCCAGGGCAGAGGGGTTGGCCCTCGATGACCTTTGAGGTCCCTTCCAACTCAAACCATTCTGTGATTCTATGATTTTAAACTTCAAAAGTTTCTTCCAAGTATAGAGAACCCTTCAAAATAGCTCCCCAAAATCATAAATAACTTATAAGTAAGTTATTAATTACTTATTTAATTTTGGCTTATTTAATTTACATGCTCAGTCAGAGAGAAAATGAAACAATAAGATTCTTCCTGTATTTTCAAACTCATCAAGTTGAGTCAAGTGCTCACCTAAAACAAGCCTGGTGAGAGATACCTGCCTTCTGGGCAGATACTGCACCTTCCTTCAATTTGTCTGCTATTAAAGAAATGCAAGTTCTAGAGAAAGCCTTCAGAAAGCAAGAGTGTACGTAGGCAAATAATTCTTGTAAAAAGCATGCTACTCCCTGGAGGGCTGAAGAGATGTAAAAACTGGATCATCATTGCAGGGAGTATAAGAGAAGAAAAAAAAACCCAAAAGAACACATAAAAAAAAATTCCAACAATAACAAGAAGAAACCTCAGAACAACCTCCTCATTTCTTATTTTGGAGGAAGAAAAATTAATACTTCTTCCTCTTACATATCAGATCTTTTTATTTTCTTTTCTCACTGTAACTAAATCTTTTTATACTTGCCTCATTTAAAAAAAAAATGCCAAAGTGATATGAAGTGATGGTTTTTGGTTCTGTAGTATTTATCATATATTTTCTAAAAAACCTGACTTCTCGTGTCTGGAAGCCTGTGGTGGACACCTCACATGGAAATATAACAAAGAATGGAATATTAAAATTAGGAGGAGAGAGAAAAAAACATGGCATGGCATCTCCAAGACCCAGGACAATCACGTCTCTGATTAAATGGGAAAATCCCTGATGGCTACGATTCAGGTGATGGTTCCCTCTCAGCTGAGCTTTAACAGAAGAGAGCACAAGTCTGAAGAACTGCAAATATTGGTCAGCTTCAGTTGACCTATGACAAAATGCTATGCTATCCTGTCCCATAAACGTTTCCAAACTGGAGATTTATTTATGAAATGGATGTTAATGCTACAGGGAGTGTAGTTTACAGCACTATGAAGACCAAAAAAAGGAAGAAAATTCAAATGTTTAAATAAACAATTAATACCTGCATTCCCAAGTCCTATCTCACTTTTGTTTTTATAAAAGCCAGACTATGGACATTCAATCAAAGTAATTTTTGAACCTACTAATAGCAACACTTTCTCTACGACTCCTCTAGCACTTTCACTCAAAAGCTAAATTGGTGCTAGCACTGGGAAACAAAATCCCTTTAACATACCTTTTGACTGTTTTGAACATCCTCCTTTCCTAAACCTACTGGCCCTGAAGTTAAATATTCCCAACAAGATAAATATTTATTTTGGACATCCAAATACCTGTAACTGTGATACTGCCTGTGGAAAAAATCTGTAAGGTAGCTCTGAGAGTTTTTATTCTGTAACACACGGCAGGATGAAGTTCTGGTTCATAACTAGAAAACAAAATAAAAGGTAAAACAAGAGAGATCTACAACTGGAAAAGGAAAGCTTAAGAAATGTACCAAGACTATAATTCTTTAAAATCCTACCGTACCTCGCATGAGGTCTGTTATTCTTCGTAAATTCTGGCAATCTGATCTCAAAGGGCATGTTGCACACTGCTAAAACATTCACAACTTTAAAATCTGTGAAAATTACCTTTTCAAAGGAGAGGAAAAACAGACGTTAGAAATTCAGTTTACAGCCAGGCAGACGTATGGGTTGCAAAAAAACCCTACAACCTAATTAGAATATTTTGATGAGATTTCAAAACTAAAACCTTGTGATTGATGCATTTCTAATAGGAGTCTAAATGGTACTTAATGAACTCAAATCACTTTATCCTTTTCTATGGTACAGTAACTGCTGAACTAGATACTTCACAGTTGTATTACGTGGTTATAGTTCAGTTCAAGAATGAGACACAGTAACAGCTCATATTGCTGCATTAAACCCTTTCAAATTGAAAAGAAACTAAATTAAATGGCTTATGGAACATCAAAATAAGCAGAGAAAAAGCTTAAATTTCATCGTTACAAGAACTTAGCTCAATTTGAAAACTTCTTTAATGCCTTGTTCCTTTACACCATACATCAAAATAAGCAGAGAAAAAGCTTAAATTTCATTGTTACAAGAACTTAGCTCAATTTGAAAACTTCTTTAATGCCTTGTTGCTTTACACCATTTGTGTTAAAGCTAAGAAGAAGAAAAAAAGGCAAAAATTGTTTTGTTTCAAATCCCCAGTGGCCAGAGCAGGGCAAGCTGTTTTTCTACCCCATTACGTTCTGAAACCCAGCTCAACTACCAGCTTTCAGCTATTCTTTACCACAGCCACTTTAGAGGACAATAAAATAGCCAAGAGCCAATTCCTAAACAAATAAATGCAGGGCTGAGGAGTCAGTGCCCAAAGTAACATTGAAGGAACTTTTGTTCATTTTCTGAGATTGCCTAAACTTAAAATGAGCATTCCTCAGTCAAAAATTTTTAGAAGTATTCTACCAGTAGAAGCAATTTAGCCTTATAAAAGATCAATTATCTGTTTAATCTTCAAAATGTATTCCTTAAAGCGGTCACTTTATAATAAAACAGCACATCCACCCAGGAAGCACAGTTTACTTCATTGATTTAATGTTCCATTCGAATTTTAAGAGGCTGGGTCTAATGTTTGCATTTGTAACAGTAAACTGAAAATGTGAGTGAACCAGCACAACTGACTACCAGGAAGTTTTAGATTATTAAAACGCATCATTTTAAGTCATTCACATTGCTGTTTTTCAGCTTTTAATATGAAATGCAAGTGGTGTTTTTGACTGGTCATGTTACCTCAAACCCAGAAAAAAATAAAGAAGAGTTTCATGTCCTAAGTATTTTCTTTGGCTTATTTCCTGCTCTGCAACCTCACATCATAGAAGCACTTTTTTCCCCTTCATTTAATTAAAGAGGCTTAAACTTGTCCTTAACGAGATGGACATTTATCTGCTATTCCATCAGAAATGAGGGAAAATGCTGTTCAAATGAAAGTTCCCTTCATTTAATTAAAGAGGCTTAAACTTGCCCTTAACGAGATGGACATTTATCCATCAGAAAAGAGGGAAAATGGTGTTCAAATGAAAGTCAGGTTTACACTCTTCAGCACTTCTTCCAACTAAATCTTTCCAGATATTGTAAATTCTACCTGAGAAGCATTTGTGGGTGGTTCATTTATTAAACAAATTTTGTTGCTCATTAGCCAGTGAAGCAGCACTACTCCAAGCTGCCAAACGAAACCGAAATCCAGCAAATAAACCAGTTTGTCTTTAACCAGCATCTGGAAAATGTATGCTGACACACAAGGGGCATCTGAGTGAAAACATGCTCACGCCTAAATCGCTCCCTCATTTTGGTTTCTTTTCTAAAAAAATGGACAACCAGCATTGCTTGAGTCATACAAGTCCTTTTTCATTCGAATTACCTGAAAACCTAGTTTCTGTAGACTACGAGCTAATCGTCTGGCACCAAATTTAGCTTCTTCTTCACTATAAAGGAGAAAGAAAAGAATCTGGCATTAACAGAAATGGAGTGTAGATTTGTGTGCACATACACCACATTAGCTGCTCAGACTGAAAAACAAACTGTTACATCAGGTAACGCATGAACCGCGACCACGTGGACAGTCTTCACTTTATCCTGCTGCACATATTACATCTTAATTACCTAGATATTCAAATGGGGTTCTTTATGCCCTGTCTGAAGAATATCTTGGCACTCAGCTCCAGCTGAAGTGGGAGATGGATTTTGATCATACGTGATACTAAGTACTCTTAAGAGATGAATTTGATCATGACTTAACATTCTAAACGATCATCTTGCATTTTGAGACAGAGATCATGTACAGAAAGTACAGAAATTTACTTATTCTTACTCCACAATGCAGACAAATCATGAGAAACTGAACTCAGCTGTTAAGAGTTTGCTTTTGCTTATTTCCAGTCCCTCAACACTGTATAACTTGATTAAATTCAGGTGGGTTTTTGTGAAACAGTTGGATACCCTTCAAAAAGGTCATCTCTTCCCAAGTTTCAAGTTCTGGCTAAAAATATAAAATTCTTAAAGAGTTCTCGAATGAAATCTCTAGGATTTTCTTCACAAAATAGTTTTCCCTGCTGTTCTCCCAGAAGGCTGAACTGACGTTGCTTAAGGTTTCAACTCAGTCTGAAGCAGACACTTCACATAGAAAATTCCTCCCAAATCTGTAGCCTGGCGAGGATCTACGTGTGATCAAGTCTACTCAATCAAGTACTGCCTCTTGCCATCATCTTCATTTACAAGGTTATATTTTTAAACTACACAAGAATTTACAGCTAGCGAAAGAATCGTCCTGAACTCACCTTGTGGCTCCTGTGCAAATAACTTTTCCTGAGGACCAAATTGTGGCCGTAATCCTAGGTTTCCTAAGCTTCATTAATACTTTCTAAAAAGAAAAACAAGAGAGGAAGAAATGGGAATTAGTGCTGGTTCACTTTCATAGGAAAAAAACCAAACAAAATAATAATAAAAAAAAAAATCAACTGTTAGACAAATCAACTGTTACACTAATAATATTTCATTTATTTTTGATAACCCTGAACTGTTCCTTCATCTCTTTCAGTAATTAAAAAAATCAGGTCCTGAGGGGAGCAAAATAAGCATGGAGTATCTTTGTCAGTGATTCAGTGTTCACAAAACAGATTAAATGACAGTATTTTCCTCTGAATAGAAAGCTGAAAGCCACGAGCATTGTGCTGATTTCACAAAACAGGTTAAATGACAGTATTTTCCTCTGAATAGAAAGCTGAAAGCCACGAGCATTGAGATTTTTTTTCTTATTCCACTGACTCCCACACTGCTGACTCCTTATCAAGATGTATTCTCTTGACAAAACCAGCAAATCTTGGGAGGCAAAACAGACCCTGAGGTGTAAGAGGTCTCATCACATACTTTATCCCCAATATTCACCTCGCTAATTGCAGGCTTCTGAGACAGTATTTACCCACTCCCCTTCCTGCACCTTTAGTGTATGACAGACTAAATGCCTATCAAGAGAGATATACAGAAATAAATCTGTTTTTCTCTATCTGCCATACACAGGTATCAGGCACAAGAATATTTAGCTTAAGGAATGTTTGTAAACCCAGAGAATTGAGGTATGTTGAATCTCTTACCCCGACGTCTCGCTTGTATATAACATTTGCTCCCTCTAACGCGATCTTCCTCAAGTTTAAATGACATCTTGTTCTAAAAACACACACTACATTGGTGATCAAAATGTCCAATGCAACATCACTGTCCGCATCCATTGGGGTGATTTACAACTCAGTTCTCCCACCAGCTCACCATGAAGATCACATCCTGAGAAGGGAAAAAAAAAATGATAAAATTAAACGTACCAGTAGAAAACGGCCTATTAAGGCCATTGTGTACATCTGTCCTTTAAATGAGACAAGAAGCAGAAGTGACTACACTCTGAGTCATTTAAGTGAACTGTGTGTGAGGAAGGGGGGGGTGTCTGTGTCCTGTATGCTAGAAAATAGGTTATTTGTTTCAAGCCACTTTGCCAGACTTAACAGAAATAAAGTGTGTATACATACGTACATATATATTTAAAAAAATATTTAAACTTGTCCGTTACATATGTTACAACTCTTAGCAATTATATTAGGACAATGTAAAGATGACTGAAATTTGTTCTGTAGCTCCAGTGGATGATCTTTCCTCAGCCCATTTGAGGATGTCATTAGACACCTCAGGAAAATGCACTTCTCTGACTGAAGTTGATAATTCTGAGCTTGTGTTGGAATGGATGAGCCTGCTGAATAACTCTTAACTAATTAAGCCTGTAAAGAGCCCACTGCCACAGCTTTCCCATCTTCAGCAACCATTTTTGGCCTATTTCTCCCAGTATAAAAGCATAATGCAAACTGTACTTGCTGGCAACAACAGCCAGGGTTGGAAAGGGGAAAAGAGCAAGAACATTAGTGAAAAGGACTTTTATCAAATACTGTAGTTCATTACAGAATTTTACTTTGCAGAAGAATGTAAAAATCTTAGTTTTACTCCAGGAAAAGTAGCTTAAGTAGAGCATAGCCTAAGAGATAGAGGTAACATTATCTTCATCCGCCCATCTACAATTTTAGTAGTATTTCATCCCAAATGAACACAACAGAAAGCAAAGAGCAAAAGCAAAGCAAAAAAGTCAGATAGAATGAAATGCTCTATGTGGTCATTGCCATGGAAGAAGCAGGAGACTATACATCAAGAATAACAATATACATAACAGACTGTAATGCATTTATATCAGAGAATGGTTCTGGTTGGAAGGGACCTTAAAGATTATAGAATTGCCTGGGTTGGAAGGGACTTTTCCGATCATTGAGTCCAACCATCAACCCAACACTGACAAAAACCATCACTGACCCATGTCTCTAAGCACTATGTCAACCCATCTTTTAAATACTTCCAGGGATGGTGCCTCAACCACTGCCCTGGGCAGCCCATTCCAAGGCTTAATAACCTTTTCAGTGCCAAAATTTTTCCTAATATCCAATCTGAACCTCCCCTGGTGCAACTTGAGGCTGTTTCCTCTTGTCCCATCGCCTGTGACTTGGGAGAAGAGACCGACCCCCCCTGGCTACACCCTCCTTTCAGGGAGTTGGAGAGAGCGAGAAGGTCTCCCCTCAGCCTCCTTTTCTCCAGGCTGAGTCATCTAGTTCCAACCCCCTGCCCTGGGCAGGGACACCTCCCACCAGACCAGGTTGCTCCAAGCCCCATCCAGCCTGGCCTCGATCATCTCCAAGGATGAGGCCTCCACAGCTTCTCCGGGCAACCTGTTCCAGGGTCTCACCACCCTCACAGCAAAGAATTTCTTCCTAAGATCTAATCTAAATCTCCCCTCTTTCAGTTTAAAACCGTTCCCCCTTGTCCTATCGCTACAATCATTTTAAATATGGCCTTACCTTCTATGCTAGAAATCTTCAAGTTAGACAATTAACATTATTATCGGTATTTTCATCTGACTATGACTTCCTAAACACAGCGTCTAATGGAAAATTCACTCAAGGTGTATCTTTGACTACAACTCACTGACAACACAGAAGCAATAAATTAAAAGGCAGATGTGTATAATGTACCGGGTCAACTGCTGGCTGGGACAGTCACTGCTTCTACTGCGCAGCTTGTGCCCAGCTGAAAGAATTATTCTCTAATTGTTGGCTTGTCCACTCTAAGAAAAGGCAAGACGGGTGACAATACAGAGAAGAGATGAAGAGCATGAGAAATCCAGAAAAACCAAAGGCTACGTGTGAGGGCTAGGGGGGAAGCAGGCAAAGAGGAGAACAAACAGTATCTAAGAATACAGAGAAGAGATGAAGAGCATGAGAAAACCAGAAAAACCAAAGGCTACGTGTGAGGACTAGGGGGGAAGCAGGCAAAGAAGAGAACAAACTATCTAATTAGTATTCCTGGATAATTTCATTATATTAAAAAAAAAAAAAAAAACAAAACCAAAAAAACCAACCTATCATTCCTGGATAATTTCATTATATTAAAAAAACAAGAACAAAAAACCCCAAAGAAAACCAACCTATATGAATCCTCAAAGTTAGAAATGACTTAATCCCATCTGGTTTTGATGGGCTACTACAGATTGGGTTGGTAATTTATGGCACCAGATGCAAAAGATAGCACAGGTACAGATTTTAACTGGTGGGGCAGGGCCAGCAGAGAGCAGGGGGCTGGAAGCCGTGGCATCTTCAGAGGGGCACTTGTTTGCCACCCTGGCTCCTAATCCTGGCTCCTGCTGAGCTCTCTTACTGGAACCCAGGAAAAACCACCCTATAAAAAAAATAGGATACCTCCAATCCTGTCCCAATTATCAGCAAGTTTCAACTGGCATCCTCAGCCTCTACGTTATTAACACCATCACGCCTAACAGCCCTGACAGGTTGTTAACCTCTAAGCAACCCATAATACTGTACGATAACGTCGCCATAAAACTCTTAATGGTTTGTTTTAAACAGATCCAGGGAGAAAAGAGACACGTGCTCGTTCAGGACAAAGGAAGAAGTGTTTGAAAGAGAGGAATATTACAATTTCAAAGGAGAAGACCTATCGTTAAAGAGGGATCTAGAGGAAAAAAAAAGAACATTAATATGCCGTGGAGCTGTCAGGCAGGATGTTTTCAGCAATAATGGTGTATCTTGGTTATAAGTACAATCTCCTGGCATAAATTTTAATGGGAGAAAAATTACACAACATTACAGCAACGCGCCCCCATTTTCATTAGCCAAGTTCTGAAAGTTCAAAACAACAGATATTTAAGGAGGAGCTTTTCGATTTGAAATTTAATTTGAGCTGTAGTTAATATTCCAGACTATGTTTTGTGACATTCAGTTACAAAGGGACATAATTTCTTACAAAAGCAGTATCTGAATACTGAAACTGCCTTTATTCTGCTTCAACGTTATTTGATCTAACAGAAACATCTCAGTGTTCAACTTTTCACTCAAACATTGAGCATTTCAACTATTTATTACCAAGTTTCTCATTTGTATTGAGAGAACTCTTTATTTACTGCTGCTAAATACTACCCTTGTTCTTTGAGAGCCTGATAAATATCTACAATTCTGAATACACCCATTCCCATTTATTATACAAATACAATCTCAATCTCTTCCAAGTCATGGTTTAGAAATATTGGGTAAACCACAACATTTTTAGACGTGGGTACTTCTGTCCAAGCAATGAGCCAGCATAACCCATTACAACCTCTGCCTTAAGTGGTTCATTTCAACATCTCACACTACACTGACAATAAAAATAAACGAGGAAAAAACGCCCTACTAGTTTTCTTAGGGAAGTCTCAAACAAACCTGAATTCCTAGGAACTGTGTGAACAGAAGCAAAATAGATATTTTTTTAAAAATAATACATGCGCTATATGAAAAAAAAATTAATCTGAAAAACATGTTTATAAAAAAATGAGTGTAACAAGTTCTCAGAAAGAAAGATGGATGGGTGCTGCTCCTATTTATAGGTTTCTCCAAAAGCATGTCTAGCTGGAACACAGGAATCCTAACCACCACCCTGATACTCCTCTTTGCCAGTTTCCCCTTGTCTTCTGTGCTATGGATACACACTCCTGTATCCCTGCTGCGTAGCTCTCACCCATTATGTTATTTCCCCAAACCTGAATTTCTGCATTTCTGCCTCCCATCTGCAAAACAGAGAAAAATAATGCTCCCATGCTCTTATAAAAACATTTGGAGATCAAGCAGCAGCCTCAGACATAAGCCTGTTACTGTTCCATATTTATGCAGTTACACTTGCAGAACAGAGGGACTGAGCAGAAACCAAACATCTGGTTCTTTCCCGTTATGGATTTGCAAATGCCTCCGTTGATTTTATTGAGCTCAGCTTAGATTCTGTTGATTCATTTTGCCCAAAGGTTCTCTCATCCGAACCTCAGAATGTTGGCAGCTTAAATCTCATTTATAAAATTATAATTCGCCGGTTAACGCTAATTTAATAATAGGCTAAAATTGAAAATTAAATCATTAACTTGTCTATATGAGCAGAATTTCTTTTAAATTGGGTAGTTCATTCAGCTTCCTCCAGCACAAAAAAAGCAGCCAACTTAATTTCCAGTTCTCTTACACCAGTGTAACACAATCTTACCCTGACAGAGAACAAAAAAGCTTAAATACATCTCTGTATAAGTTTGTATTATTTTATTTTATCAAGGAAATTTTAAAAGTTTGTTCTTTCTTTTCAACATAGATTTCAGGAACATTACCCTTGGAAGAAAAAAAGAGGAAGGAAAAAAAAAAGTAGATCGGTCTTTTATTTTATCAAGGAAATTTTAAAAGTTTCTTCTTTCTTTTCAACATAGATTTCAGGAATATTACCCTCGGAAGAAAAAAAGAGGAAGGGAAAAAAAAAAGTAGATCAGTAAAGTATGATAATGAACATAAAAATAAAAAACAACAACAAGAGCTAATTCAAGGATATCTGACACTGTAAAGTAATGTATCCTAAAGTGAAACTTCCCAGAATAAGAAATACTTCGGAGGAAGGAATGAGCACTCAAGCTCTTAAACAAAGCATTACCCATACATCCCCAGTTGGGACCGTGGCCATACTATTTTAGATACTATATAAACACACTGGAAGACAAACACCCCACGCTAAAATCCTCCAATCTAAAAAAAAAAAAAAAAAAGCCAGCTTGATCTGTCTTTGAAAAATTCCAACCCAACCCAACCACACCATCATCATCAAAGCCATAGGAAAGGCACTCGGGATGGGGTGTATAAACAAAGTATTATTTTAAGCTTTCAGCTACCTTTGATCCGAGGAACTCAGAGCTGTAAAGGTAGACGGGGGCTATCTAACAATGGTTATGTTAATGTCAGGATAGTTTAATAAACACCTTTTTTTCAGCAGCAGCGTAAGTGTAAGCAACTTCCACTGGTTATTTTTAACCTTGTTGCTGAACTTAAAGCTGCTCACCCAGTGACCAACCCCACCAATAGCTCCAGTGGCCCCAGCTGAAGGGATAGCCATCACTGGTGTGCCAGTAAGCATTCACCAAAATATTGCTGGAAAAGCATTTCTGATGAAGTTAATGGGAATTTCCATACGAGAACAGAGAACACACAAAATAAGGCCCATGTGAACAAGAAGAGAGCTGATGACATCCTGCTGCTGAAGGGGCATTTTTTTAAAGCCCCGTGTTCAGCCCCTCGGGGAACAGGTCCATATGAAACATGCTGGAGGTGACAGAGCAGTCACAGTGGTAGGTGGATGACACAGTTACTGCTGCCAGTATAGAAAATCCTCTGGTCCAAACACTAGCCACTGAGCCAGAGAGGTGTGCTTTTAATTTCTGTTACCTCCAGGGGCCAAGTTACATCACCCCTAAAGCAAAAGGCCATCTTGGAGCCTTCTCACCTTTAGGGATTTGCATAGTCATAACTGTTTCCTACAGAACCGAAACAAGTATACTTTAGAGGAGAAAATTTCCAAATATGCATAACATCAGTGCCAAAGGAGGGATGTGTCCAACTAGACCCACGTACAGAACGATGACACCAGCCATCCCATAAGCAAGTAGGACACAAATGCCCAATCCTGCTGCCAAATCTCCTGGATAAGCCTACTGCATCCCCACGGACCTAGGGTAGGGTCTTCCAACATAAATCCAGTGGCAGGAATAAAGCCAAAGAGCTTAGGGAGCGTATCTTTAAATAATTCGTAACAGATTTGAGGAAGAATGGCCTTTCTCATCAAAAAGATCCGTCAGCATTCAGGGGGGGAGAAATCACTCGAGTGCAATTTCGTGCCACCTTTCCCTTATAACGCCCAGCCCCAGGGGAACACCGGGCATTAATAACTGTCCTTTCGGGTCTTTTGTGATACGCGGAAAATCGTCCCGAGCACGCTAAAAATCCGAACCAACAGGTTAGGTGCACACTGAAACTCGATCAAACGCGGCAAGAAAACCAGGAATCTGGTGTGCTGCTACAAAATATTTGAACACAACAGGTAACCCCCCTCCCCTCACCTCCCTCCCTCACGCCCCCAGTCAAACATCTACCGTCTCATGGAGGCAGCGGAGTACTCTCCTCATTCACCAGCTGGGGAGCTCATTTAAAGCCCTACACGCGTAGCAGGATGACCGATAATCGTGGGGGTGGTTTTTTTTGTTTGTTTTGGGGTTGGTTTTTCTTTTTAATTATTTTAATTTCCCTTAGTCTCAGCCCAAAACTTCTGGGGCCGGCCCGGGTCAGACAAAAGCGCAGGCGGGCGGGAGGCGGCCTGGCCACGCCGGTCCCCGCGGCACCGGGGAGGAAGGGGGGGATCCCCAAGGCTCTCACAACACCCCCCACCACCACCCCGGGGCCCGGGGACGCTATTTTGGGGACCCGAAACGCGGGGCAGCCGGTTCCCCCCCCCCCGACTCAGCGGTTGCCGGGGAATGGGCCGTTTCCCCCGCGGGATGCTCAGCCCCCGTCCCCGCCCCGAACAACGGCGGCCCCGGGGAATGGGGAACGGGAGGGGAAGGAGGGGGGAAGCCCCTCACCTCAGCCGGGGAGGGACGGGGCGGGAGGTGG